AATTGATTAGAACGTTTATACATTAGGATAGTTGCTTCATCTAAACCTTGTTTACGAAGTTTTCGACAATAACGTTGTAATTTTCGATTACGTGGTTGCTTTTTCTTTATGTTTGATATTGTTGTTGTAGTTGTTTTTTGTTCTTGTCCTGTTAGTACTTGTGTCGGTGATAGTAAATCACCCCAATGACCTTGAGCATCTTGACTTGGAGTTTTGATCGTTTCTGTATTAATATTTGTATTCATATTCATGTTAAATATTTTTATCTAAAACAAGAAAAATAATGTTTGAGTAATTAATTTATTTGGGAGATAAACTAGAAAAATAAACTACGCTAAATCACCAAATGGTTAGGTAAATATACATCGTTGAACAAAAGAAAAAAAAAATTACAATGACTTAACATTTGCTATTTTTCTTTCAGAAATGACTGCAAAAGCTTGAGCTGTCCTGCAAGTTCATGTTGTTGATATTTTTCTGAATTTTTCCAGTGTTTAACTGATTCATTTTGTTATGTACATTGTTCTGCAATAACAATTTGTTCTACATGATTAATTTGTCTTAAATTTTGCCATCATTCTTTTTGTAAATCACCATAGAATTCTTTTTTTTTCTCGTCATTTTAATTATTGATATTTGGGTGTGTAAAGAAGCTCAAGATTTTTCGAAATTAGATACATAAGCGAGAGACTTACGACCGGTTTCGTCCTTGCTTAAGGGACTCGTCAGGTAAGTTAAGTATCTAAATTTTTTACTGCATATCGATCGTAATTCAAAATAGAGGTAGTTCTATAAGAGTTTTCGAGAAGAAATCAAAAACTCCCAACAAACAGCCACCAAATTTTTTTGAAGTAAGATCACATCTAGTTTAAATCAACTAAATTTTTAAGAATCAAGTTGAAATAAATTAGATGACGTCGCAACAAATAAATCAAGGATATAAGTATATCCAAGAATTATATGGTTCGTATAACTTTGAAGAATATTCCGGAACTAGTTTGTAGCTTTCTCAAGTGTCGTCATCAGGTAGGTTTGACACTTTATAATTTCGAGAATCAGATTGAAAGGATGGGAGTCTTGCCATATTCCTGAAGTCACTAAGCAAAGCAGATGTTTCCT